CATATCCTCCAATGCTTTTTATTTTAAAATCTTTTTCTGTATTCTTTAAACATTTACTTTGATAATTATGCCTGTACATTTTAGTTTGCGCTTTAAATAGGATTTCTGAAGTTGTGTTACAGGTAAGTCAATCAGAGGAATTATTGCTATTTTGAGAAGATAGTAACCTAACTAACAGGACAGATTGAAAATCTATATTTGTAAAAAATTCCTAATTACTAGGCATATTTGAAATCATATCACATCTGATTTCAAGCAACACAGTTACACAGTATCATAACACAGAAATCCTGTATTAACATTTTTCTGTTAAGCATAATGAATTATTTTCAATTTCATCATTTAACTGAGTTTGGAACTGTCATATACAGAGACTGACCAAACATTTCTGGCGAGAAACTTCAAGATTTCACTTATGTAATTTTTTGGCTGATCTTTGGAATATGGTAACAGGTAGTTTGGCGACATTTTGGAGGCGATAAAGGTTACTATCTAGGACTTTGGTAAGAATGTGAGAAGTACTCAGTTCCGATTACGCATTATTTTGTGTGAGGGAAATGAGAGATCACGAGATATGTCATGTGACATTAATGGACGAATTACAGTTCTTTAATCGGAAAAGGGGGTAAATTTGGAAAAATATCGGTAGTAATATATTATTTTGTATTAAGCTTCATTATGTGTTGTGCGAAATAGTGTTGATTAATTTTCGGATTGCATGGCGCTATGTAAAGTGAAAGAAATTAGCAGTAGTACTGCAGCAGATTGGAACTCTTTCTGTAGGGAAGTGTGCGTACCACATAATGAAGATTCTGAAGAAGATTAGGTAAGTTAGTATTTTTAATCATTTGAGGATATTATTTTTATGCATTGTTCTAAATGTAAGGAGTAAATAAATTAATATGGTATTATGGAAAATTGTTATTAGCGATGATTTAGTTTAAAGTAATTAGGATTGTAATCTAATTTTTATTAATTTAATGTATGTGCTTATTTATATTTTAAGTAGTGTTTTTTAATTTAATTATATTTTAATTTAATGATCGTGATTTTGTGAGTTATATGTTTGTAGTATTTTGGAATACGTTTGAGTAGAATACATTGAGTATTTTCCTGCATTTTCGTGAAATTTTTCTAATTTATGAGAAAAAAGCAATGTACATGGATACAGTGAAGAGTGTGCGCAATTCCAGGATGTTTTTTTAAGTAAAAATAAGTCGACGTGTACATGGTTTAATTATATTTTAATTAAATGATAGTTATTTTGTGAATTATATGTTTGTAGTAATTTGGTATACGTTTCAGTGGAAGTAAACGTGCATGGAAATAATTTAAACATTTGAGACTAAGTTTGTAACCATTTTTAATGTTTTGTTATAGATTCGTTGGTGACGTTTATAATAGATAATTTAGAGGTAAAAGTTTTTGGATATTTTATTTATTTTATACGTGCAAATGTTCACCTTTGGAAAGGGTATATACTTTTTTGCGATCAGGTAATTTCATATTATGTCCTTTTTACCGAATTTAAATATTCACACAATTTTCATGCATTTTTGTGCAATTCTGGGATTTTTTTTTAAGTAAAAATAAGTCGACGTGTACATGGTTTAATTATATTTTAATTAAATGATAGTTTTGTGAATATGTTTGTAGCAATTTGGTATACGTTTGAGTGGATGTAAACGTGCATGGAAATAATTTAAATATTTGAGACTAAGTATTTGTAACCATTTTTAATGTTTTGTTATGAATTTGTTGGTGACGTTTATAATAGATAATTTAGAGGTAAAAGTTTTTGGATATTTTATTTATATTATACGTGGAAATGTTCATCCTTGGATAGGGTATATACTTTTTTGCGATCAGGTAATTTCATATATGTGCTTTTTACCGAGTTTAAAGATTCACAAAATTTTCCTGTATTTTTGTGCAAATTTTTGTAATTTATGAGAAAATAGCAGTTTAGATGGGTAAAGTCAAGAGTGTGCGCAATGCCATTTTTGTGCAATTCTGGGATGTTTTTTTTAAGTAAAAATAAGTCGACGTGTACATGGTTACTGTGTATGTGCGATTTTGAAAAACGTGGCAAGGAGTTTGCGATTCTGCACTTTTTCCCAATTTTGCAGTTAATATTTGTCATGATTAAGCAGTTTTGTTCCATAAAATTTCTAGCATAAGTGTAATTCAGCTAGGAAATTGTTGGAAAAAGTGTTGAGTAAATAAAAAGAAAAGAAATATGTCTTTACTTTGTGAAGAAAAAATGGCAGCAAAAAAAAAAAAAAAAATAGAGGATTGCTGTAGCAGAGTTGGTCGCCAAATTTTTGCCAAAAAATTGCCAAGTAACCATAATTCAAAAATCAACCATTTTTTTTTTTTTTTTTTTACATTTCAAATTTAAAGCCTAAAATGTCTGAAAAAACATGGTTTTTGCACATTTATGCTAAAAGTCTGAAATAAAAACAAAATATTAAGGTAAGTAAAAACAGTTTCTCACTAAAAAATGTTTGATGACAAATTTAAATGGTAAAAATTTACAATTGAGTTCTTTTTTTGGGGGTGGAGGGGGCAATTCTTTTTTGATGCCAAGATCAGTCCCAGAAAAGAACAATTTCAAGATTACCGCTACACAAAACCAAAATAAGAAGTCAAAGAATGACACAAACTCGGTGTCTATGTGTACACATCAATCTTTTCACTTAAAAAAAATCAGAGAATTGCAAACTGCCTTGACTTCGTCCATCTACACATGGATCTATTTTCACCCAAAAAAATCATGAAGCTAAAAATAAGTCGACTTAATAATAAAATAAGTTTAAACTACTCTTGTAACTAGAACACCCAATTTTCTAATAGAGCCATTTAAATGATTGTAACAACTATAAATTCCGGTACTATTCCGTTTTGAGGACCGTAAAAAAATTGCAGCACAAATGTATGCACAAAAGCGGCAAATCTAGCAAACACGACATTTAACAGAGCACTAAATCTAGCGTACATGCTGATTTCAAATTGCGTAAATTTAGACAGTTCTATATTTCTTAAGATGCCATTGAAATACTAGTTTAATCTTTAAATCCTTTTTTGATAACACTGTTAATTTAATAATTTGGGAATTGCCCAGTGACAAAAAATTTGCAATAGTTTTTTTTATTATTCATTATACAAAAATGTTTGAACAACCAACGAGATGAAATAATGTTTTAGCAATAACTCGGTAGCGAAAACTGCGATGCAAGAAGATAAGTTATGTTAAGCCTTTTTTTATATAAATTATAATAATGATGTGAAATAGCTATTTCCTCTTATGCTTCCATTCAGTTATGTTTATCCTATTTTATATAAATTATAATAATAAAAAAGTATTATATGAAATTAACCTTATCTGAATTAGGCAAAATTAATCTTAGTTAATTTACTATCATACTTCCTTTCTTGCGTTAGGGTTGCCGCAATTATTTTTGGCAGCAACGGCATCAACAATAGTTTGGCAATTTTTTACGGTTCTCAAAATGGAACAGTACCTAAATTTCAAACAATTTCAACATAAATTCAAAACGTTAATAAAAAATAACACAAAATTAAAGCAATGCAACAATAAAAACAACTCTACAAAATTAAAATAATAAAAGAGCAAATTCATTTTACCGTTCAAAATAGTTCCCACAAAAACGCAAAATATTAATTTCAAACAAAAGCTCGTAAGGACAGACATATCACATATATAATCCAATATACTTTAATTAATAAAACTATGCCAACCACACAAAGTATGTGAACCAAAATGCCATGACTTAGCTATATCAGACGTCTTTCTACAATTCGAAATTTCAAACGTTATAATAAAATCCCTCTAAAGTCGACGCACTCCAGCAAAACCAGGATCCAAACCTCAAACTTTGTTGAGAACCATTCTTTACCTTCAACAATTTTTCTGCAAATCCACCAGAAACACAATTTATCTTCCGAATCCTCAAATCAGACCTGCACTTTGCTCACATGTCAAGTTTGGCTTCAAAAATCCTGTATCCCATAAAAACTGCAAGAAGATAAGCATGAACAAATGCTTCATTAACAACTCCAACAACATATCTAGCTCCAATATACATGGCTGATATATCTCCCATTCTTTCATGGAACTATATGCCATTATTCAACACGTAACCAATCCACTGCCATGACGAAATATAACCACATTCCTCAAACTTTCCACAAAAGGGTTGGCATACAAACAAAATCTCAGCTAAACCATCCAACACAAAATATCGCCACATTTGGCAACCACATGTATCTTGGCCCATATAAATAACATTTGAGCCCAGAATTTATAATAAATATAGCTTTAAAATAACTTTCACTATAAATTAATAGTAGCTTTAAAATAATATTTTCTACAATTGCTAAAGATACCACTATATCAGCAAATTTTAATACCTATGAATAATACTTAATATTTAAAAAATATTTTAATCTATTTTGTTTGAATTACCACGACGAATTAAAAAAATTTCCTCCATTTTTGCAATTCTTACATTGCAAATACAGCTTACAGAGGTTCTCAAATTACACAAAGTCATTACCAGATACACGTATAATTGTTTATGCAAATTAAACAAATTTAATTGCATAAATTTTATGTTATGGAAGTTTTCATCTGAAGCAAAAGCTGATAAAAAATTAGTATGTATAAACACGTTTCTAACAATTTTTTATAAATTTTAAATTCTAAAAATCTGTGCTCCACTTTAGATAATGATTTTAAAACACTATCACTTGATGTGGAATGCAAAGACTAAAAACTGGCTTCCTATAAGGATTTTCTGCAGCATAAGTAAGCATGCACTAAAAACACCTGTTATTAAATATATATCAAAATGCAGAATTAAAAGCAATAAATTTTATCTTCTTGAAAACAGTGTACAAACTGTAGCACTAACAAATTGTTTATTATAAATCTCATTATAGGATATATGTTCCAAATAGCGTTTTAGAAAGCATACCTGCCAGGTTTTACATATTCACGTGGTTTAGCACTAACTGCTTTAGTTGCAGGCACTTCAGCTGCAGCAGGTTCCTTTTTTGACTTTTTTTCCTTTTTTTTCTCTAATTTTGTTGGCTTAACGTCTGCCATTTTGAAATCAGAATGCCCTAAAAGAGATAAAAGAATTAGATATGTATACAAATAATACACATATAGTTTATTTAATATGGTTTTAAGAGCATAAATGTAGCTTGTAACAGCAAACAGGGAAGCAGGTGTAAATAAAATGATTATAAATACATCACATTCATTTGCTAGATCAGCAGTTCCCAAACTGTGATAGGTGTATCCCTGAAGGTGCGTGATGGCTTAGTCGGGGGTATGCGAAAAAATTAACAGTAATGGTGGAAAACCACAACGTATTATAATGAATACTAATGATAAATCAAAATGTTCAGAAAGTTTAAATTTGTCCTTCAATACAAGGAAAAGTAACTGGGAGTAATTCCATTGTGACCATCACTGAGCAGTATGTGTACTAAACTAATATAGCTGCAATTAAATTAGCTTCACTCATACTTAACAAAGGCGGAGCACATACCATATCGGCAAGGTGGCCCCATGGACAGAATTAACTTGCCTAAAAAAGTTCCCAGATTGCAGGCTCTTTGAAATCCAGACCCTTCACTAACCTGTATCCTCAAAATACCGGACCGCCCGAAATAGTTTTCCAATTTCACAACAATTTCCTCCCCTCCCCATCCATTAACGCAGAAAATAAGTGTGAAGATTTCCAATGACATCCTTTGTACTTTCTAACAAATATTCCATTAGCCTTTGATCCCGTTCTTTATAAAACTATTCTGAAGGCCAGACCAACAAGCCTTTCCGGCTTTGTTATGATCACGACTGAAATTTTGTTTATTTTCGTTATTTTTATAGAAAGGAATAAATTGTTTAAAAATAAATATAATTATTAAATTTTTAAAATGCTCTTTTATTGTTGTTTAAAGCTTAAAAGCACACTGTACCACAAAAGAATCAAGGACGAAATGTGACTATCGACCAAAAGATAATAAAACTTCTTAGGACAAGCTGTCTGCAGTAAACTGATAAATTCCATTTGGGGAAATTGCACCTGCTACTGTATACCTTAGGGGGAGGGAAGAAAACAAGATTACAATCTCGGCCATTTTCGGGAGGTTCTGGTTGTTACAATGTAGGGCCGTGTTGGGCGGATTGGATGCGAAGAAGTTAAATCCTATGCTTCACAGAGATTAAGTAAACTGCTGTGTTTCAGTGCTTTTCAAATAGCACTGGTAATTTCAGGATTATGCCAGAGAAAATTTCCAGAAACAGGAAAGTATTATTTACTAATAATAAATAAATTTGGTATGAAGAAGCATCATTAAATGATACAAATAACATAAACAAAGATAATTACTTAACTGAATTAGAATAATCAACAATATTTTAGCGAATATACTTATATTAAATGGTTAGCATAGAAGACTGATTCCTATTTTTTATTTTGCTGCAAAATGACAAATAAAGCATTTATCAAGAAGAAAAAATGTTTAAAAGATTTTATGGTTAAATACTAGTACAGTACAAAGTCTGTAATCCGGACGTATATTATCCGGAATGATCTATAATCTGGACCTCAAAGATACAAACTTTTTTTTTTTTGCATGCTTTATGCATGGGAGTTTAATGTTTACGCATGCGCGTTAAGCACAAAAAATTAAGCAACTTAAACAACTTACATTGTAAGAAATGTTTAATAAAGTAAACAAATAAATATTAAGCTTTTTTTTGTAAATTTTGATACCCTTTAGATCTTAATTGCTCTTTATTTCATAAATTACGGTTTCATATTTTTAATTGTATAATTTTTGCATGCCATTTTACCAGATTTAAATTGATCTATAATCCGGAAAAACCCTTACTCCGGAATCGCAAGTCCCGACGAATCTGGATTACGGACTTTGTACTGTATAGGACAAGGCTTGGAACGATTTTGAAAATTATCGCAAACACCAAAATGACCAGTTTACTGCTCATCATAATGTTGCCAAATCCTGTGTGTACTGTACATTAAAAAGATTTTGCAGTAAAATCCTAGTTTACTCTAAGGTGGCATGATTTTGAAATTTGTTGCCAACACCAAAATTATCCATTTACAGCTCATCATCATATCGCCAAATCCTGTGTGTACTGTACATGTAGGTTAGAATAGAATACATGGAAGTTATTCTAACCAAAGAATGTCTATGTAAAGGAAAGGTTCGACAGACGTAATGCTATTGCTCCGCTAGAAAGCGGAATGAAAATTCGTCAAGGGATTTTGCAAGAGGCCATGGTGGCCAGAACTTCTCACTTCGCAATGTGTACAGAACATTGAGGAACTCATGTTGAGAAGAAACGACCTTTGACAAAATGTCGTTTCATTGATTTTTTGCAATATTTTAAATACAGATTTTCCTGGGTTTTTTTTTTTTTTTTTTCCTGCTCAAAATAACTAATCCATGAATTAATTTATTTGCATGAAAAAATATTTTCTTTTCCTTTAAAGAAATTTTAAACGATATTCATTTTATAAACTCTTGATAACGTCACCTTTGAACTTCGGCACCGGCTTCGAGCTACAGATATTTCGCGCATGCACGTTTTTATTTGCCATTTTACCCCTACGTTGGAATGAAGCCACACCTGTTGCACTCCTGCTGTGAGTTTTCGTTCCTAACAATACATATTCTTTGATTCTAACCTCTATAGTACCTTATACTAGAATTAAACCAATTTTGTTTTGAATGAAAATAAGTATTTTGTTTAGTTCAACATGCAATGCATATCTCGGAGTTTGTTGGAAACTTGCTTTGCCTTTCTAAAAAAGACAATCTAATTGGAACTGTGAAAACTGGCTCTATGCCAGCTGCCCGAATGACACTGACATGATACACAATTCACCAAGAAAGTGACCGCTTCCAATATCGGCGCAAAACTCTGTTTTTTGGGGGGATCGCCCAACTTTTCCAGATTTTGACTAAAATATTTTAATTCCCTGAACTTTTTGGCCAATTCTTGATTTTCCTGACTTTTTCCGGTTTTCCAGGTAGTCTCCATTCATTCTAAAAATATTTTCAAAAAATTATGCAACTGCCCAATCCTTTTGCTGCACACTGGAGAACATGTACTCTTGCTAAATACAGGGTGTTTCAAAGATCAAGGGACAAACTTGGAGGGGTAGTGGAGTGTACTAAAGCATGCATTTTTTTAATAGGAATGTAGGGTCTAAAGTGACGAGTTAAGACAGGAATGCAAAAAAACAACAGAAGAGGAAAATGCGTTTATGTACAAAATCAACGCAAAGTGCTTCTTTGTCGGGGTGGCCATAGAGAGGGTCCACCAATCCATTGGCCCGGAAATGTCTCATCCAAGTAATTGTGGACCCGCACGTGGTTATGGGCTGGTTACCATCATGCTGAAACTACATGCAATCGCGAATGAGAGACGGAACAGCAATTCCGGTAGCACCTCTTGCAGAAAAATATGATAACATAAGCCAATTGTACGTGCAGGTAAGAGGTATGGGTCTATCCAGGTAGTCGTTAACAATACCCGCCTACACATTCACGGAGAAGCAGGTTTGGAATGCATGTGGATGTGTGCCGTGTAGATTATGAGTTGCCCACACGTGCATGTTGTGGCTACTGAAGATACCGTCCTGTGAGAAAGCTGTGTCGTCCGTGAATAGCACATCCGATGGGAAATCCGCCTGTGCCGCACACTGCTGCAAGAACCAATGACAGAAATGAAATTGAAGAGGAGCTCGAGAATCTTGGACTCTCTGCAAATGGTATGGGTATAAACCATTTTCATACAATACTCTCCAAACGGTGGAATGACTCAGATGCAGACGACGTGCAATAGCTCTTGAACTTGTCTGAGGTGATTTATGCACAATGTTCAAGATGGATTCTTTAACCCCTTAACGCATTTGCCCGTGTCTTCCGGCAAATTTGCACATGTCCGTGTCTCACACGGGCGCCCTTGTATCTCGCGTTATTTTATTTCTAATGCTTGTCTGAGATCCGTTCCACTAAAAATAAATAGGCTAGATTATAATTAAACTTATTTGACATAGATGGCACCACTATTCAGCATTTTTCTTGTGTAAACTACGTGGCGCATTTTGATGATTAGCTATAAGTTTGCTAGGAATAATTCTTTGCTATAAAGTAGTCATTTGGTGTGGAAAAGGTAATATATCCATTTTTATTACGTAAATATAATAAAAGTAAGCAGTTAATTGCAAATTATATTACTAACTGTTTTTGTAATTTAAAAAAAGTTATCTGATAATGAGCGACTCTGACGATGACAATTTTGAATATGCCAATTTATCACAGTTTCAGCGATGAGAGTGATGATTTCTTGAGTGATGGAAGTGAACCAGAAGATAATGACAACGAGATTTTGGATATAGCAAGGAATTGGTATCAAATTAGTATAAATCAACCAAACATTGCACCACCGAGATTTCGATTTGAAGTTAACCCTGGCATGATTATGCAAGAAAAAAAATAGGTGATTTTTTGACCAAAAATTAGAAAGTAATGTGTGCCTTAAGGGGTTAATGCGAGGTTATCGTGCACTTCTTCCACTCCCAGCGTCAGCGGTGGCTTCAAATGACCCATTTTCACACAGAGACCGATGCAGTTTCTCGAATACTGTGGGCTTCGGGCATATGCCTGTTTGGAAACCGTTCCTGGTTCAACAGTAGCATTGATTTGCCATTACCATTAGCAGCACTATACATGAGATGCATGTCACCTTTTTCCCTATGCGTAAACTCTCGCATCAAGCTCTACATCACAGTTGCGAATGATCCTCCGATGTATCTGATTGTGGTTTGTCCGGCTCAGTACCGCCCTCTACCCCTGCATTGCCAGCCCATCACAGCTGTAGTTCCTATTACTGTTAGTGTTCCCTTTTTTGAACATTTATTGTGAATACTGTATTGCTGCAAAGAAGGACTTTGTGTTGATTTTGTACATAAACACATTTTCCTCTTTTTTTTTTTTTTCGTTCCCTCCTTAACATGTCACTTTAGACCCTACATTCCTCTACAAAAAATGCATGCTTTAGTACGCTCCACCACCCCTCCAAGTTTGTCCCATGATCTATAAAACACCCTGTATATGGCAAAGTTGCCATTTCTGTTACACTAGGAAGCTTTGTTTTAATATGCTATCATGAATCTTCAACTGTATTGATATTAACTCCGGTAATTCCCTCCCAAGTTAATTTATAATAGAATATATCAGGTTGTCCAGAAAATAATGCAGGTTTTTGCAATTGTTCATCTTTCCTGTACATTTTTAGCAACAAAAATAATTTGAATTACATTGGTTTATATACAATTCTGAAGCTCTATTTTCGCTCTATATTTCTATAATAATCATTCTGTTCCAAAATTATTTCCAAAAATATATACTAGATGTTTTTGTTTAGGTGTCAAAACGGGATCTTCTACAAATTTACTTTTATGAGAACAAGCTAGGCCACAGTGCAGCGTTGGCATTTTGAGCTCGAAATGTCAATGAAGTATGGTGTAAAAAAAAAAAATGTTAATGAATCTACAGTTCAATGGTGATACCAAAAGTTTTGTTGTGGAGAATTTGACCTGGAAGATCAAGAGCATCGTGGACACTCTTCAGCTGTAGATGATGATGATGATTTGAAGACTTTCGTTGAAACAAACCCGTGCATAACTGTTCGAAAGCTCGGCGTAAGCAAAATAACGATTTCTGATCGCTTGAACTGCATAGGAAAGTCAAAGAAGCTCGATAAGTGGGTGCCACACGAATTGAGAGAAAATTAAAAAATTGCCATTTTGAAGGGTTGTCTGCTGTTCTTCGCAACAAAAACAACTTTTTTCTTGATGGAATTTTTACATGTGATGATAAATGGATTCTCTCCAACAACTGGTGACACTCAGCTCAGTGGTTGGACAGCAGTCAGACACCACAACACTTTCCAAAGCAAAATTTGCACCAAAAGAAAATTATGGTGACTGTTTGGTGGTCTGAAACCGGTCTCATCCACTACAGCTTCCTAACTCTGGGTGAAACAATTACGGCAGATAAGTACAAATCAATGAAATGCACCAAAAATTGCAGCACATGTGCTTGGCATTGGTCAACAGAAAGCGGCAGTTCTCTCCATGATGATGCTCAGCTGCATGTCATGCAACTGACCCTACAGAAATTGGATGAATTGGGATACGAAACTCTCCCTCTTCCCCCCAATTCGCCTGACCACTCACAGACCGATTACAACTTTTTCAAACATCTGGATAACATTCTGCAGAAGAAATACAAGACGAGGTCAAAAATGCTTTTGACAACTTTATTGTGTCCAGAACTCGAGAATTTTATTCTATCATCATAAATAAACTTATATCTCATTGGCAAAAGTGCAGTGATTCGGCTGCTGCTTATTTTGATTAATAAAATTGTTTTTGAGTTATGATACTTTAAAGATACAGGTTTAAATCCTGCATTATTTTTCGGACAACCTTATACAATGAACAGCTAATACGTAAAAGAAATTTAAATATTTCAAACTACATAGTTCTAGGATAAATTTTAAAAAAAGATTTAAAAACTTTTATACACCACTAATACGGAAACTTCTAAATTTATCCGCGCACACTTAAAAGCCAACGTTACAGTTATTTCGAAATTAAGAATCTAGTTTGAGAAAGCAAATTCTAGAAGATATATATAAATACCTAAAATTACATTACAATATGGAGAATAAATGACAAGATTACTGCCTATTTAATCAAGACAGCAAAATGAAATAATATAATGCGAATTAGGCTTTCGAAACTAATTACGGCAAGAAACAAATCCAACAAAACGTTAATTGGAAAGTATTCTGCTCACAGAAAACAAATACAAATATCAGCGAAAATACAATCCAAAAACTAAATAACAAGAAAATCAGAATCTAGCTTTCGATGTTTTACAGATAGGCAATGAATGATAATGGCGTATGGCAGGCCAATGACCACGTGCTATTCATAAACAGTTCTGTAATTAAAAATATGAATAAAAGGAACAGATGGGCAACAGTGTAATTAATCGAGTCTTGAAAATATAAATAATATGAAAGGGAATTATGCCATTCTTGTGCAATACGGATTTATGACATAAAATTCATTATCAGAACTTAGGTAACGTACCGCCATTTGTACTTGGAATTACATACACATACCAATAACAAAGGAAATGCCAGCAGAAAAATAACACCTCTTTGTTTTAGTTTTACGCCTTTTAAACACTTAAAATATCTTATTTTACTTTTATTTGAAATAAAAAGTCATACCTCACTTGACGTGGCTTGTTTCGAGCCGCGAGAACTTCTTCAGATGTTGAGCTGAGGTGAATTGTTTCCAAGCTGTGCATTAAAAAAAAGTACAGAGAGAAAATTTGGTGTAACACCAGGGTGCCTGGGTCCAAGACACTACCCCACATCGAATAATAGTGTAGTTTGCGATGATACAAGTAAATAACTTGTTAAAAGCAAAAGTAGAGGCGTTATTTCATAGTTAAAATATTCATATATTAATGTCTATAAACTAGCGGATTTTATTTATTTTTTTTTAATATTTTAAGTTCTTCTGTATGCAAAGGCATAATATTTCATTTCCATAACTCTGATACACAAAAGGCTTTTCTTATAATAAAGGATTAGATATATTTTACCTTAATCAAAGCTGCAATATCAAAGAAGATAGGAGAAGGGAACTCAAACGGTGAATCCTCGGCGACCATATTATTCCAGCCACAGTGTCTCGTGCAAGAAAAGCAATTTAATGAACATTATATAACATTAAACAACTAATTCTAGAATGGCTATTATGAGTCAAGCTATAAAATATTGCATTTGTAAGTAAATAATAGAAGCATGGTATTTCTATCGTAGTTATATGAGAAATGAATAATACGAGATTATAATATAGTTAGTTATATGAGAATATCTGAAACAATATTTTCCCAAGCATACGCATAATGTTTCAATACTTGGGTTTTCAAAGAAGAAAAAATTGTCATAAAGGCACATTACTCGACTTTTAATGCTATTTTAGCAATATAACAGAAACAAATTAGCAATCAATTACCAAACAGACACAAACACATCTTAATCCCGCTTTTTCCCATATATTTTCCTTTTCTGCCTAGCTCCAACTACTCACATGCTATTTACTTTCGTTGGCATAATGAAATGTCGCCCATACCCTTAAAGGAGCGAAGTTTGCACAACCAAGCCTGTTCTCCGAACAATATTCGTGTCACGCGACTTATGGCCGAATTCCAAGAGTCCGGAAATACTTTACATTAATTTTGAAGGATTGCTCTGCTTTGTTTCATAAAATTTTAAAAACATTTTTATCCGCTGCAGCGCCTATGGATGTAAGGAAAATTTTGTAAAAGGTGGACCTGTAACCTTTCATAAGAGAGTTAAAACTGCATGATTTATTATTTTGTTCTCAATATTTTTTTCATTTTACTATCTCTGTTGAATTGGCTGGAAAATTTCGGCGATATTATGTAAGCAAATTGCCGCTGTATATGACACTTTCAGCATGTATTATTATCGTCAAAATGTATTAAATACTTTGACACTATTTTACTGAAATCACCCTTTACAAATAATTAAGTTTTATATTCTTTTTTCACGTACTCCGTTAAAATAGAAAGCTGCGCCATTTGGTGCTAACCTTTTTTCGCCGAGTCGTACGCGTTTTGGTTTCGTAAACAAGTACTGCCTGCGATAAAAAAGAAAAATGCTACTATTATTATTAAATTATTGAGAAAAGATTGTGTTTACTTTGGAGGGGAAAAAACTGAAAATCTTAATTTACGCAATATTAGTAGTAACCCACGGTACTCGTGCGACGGAAGTGACGTCACAGAAAAGGGGCGTGGTCTCGCCATCTTGGACCACGTGACAACCGGAAGTGACGTCGATGGATGGAAAGATGTAGGCAGAATGACGTCATGCATCATTTCATTTTTATTCTGTGGCAACGACCCTATGTTTCTAAGATCCTTGCTCTGATCTTTGCTCTTACAAAAGTTAAGTAGAATTGTAAATCCTATGTAAGAGCGAAGATCAAACGCCGCAAGAGGCTGCTGGCGTGTTTCCTCTGCTAAAAGTATTTAAATATTTCATAAGCTGAAGATAAACCAAAAAGTATCGAGAATTCATTAGGATATGTTCAAAGAGGTAAGCAGCAAAGATAAAATAGTTTTCAATAGCAAAGAGAAAACAGTTTCGAAATGTCTAAACGACTACCTAGAGCACACTCTCAAAACGTTTGCGAAAAGACAATGACATCACAAATACATAAATTTTATGGAACATGACATTATTTAAAAAATTTCGTTCTGATATAGGAAAATACACATTAAGTAATTAAATGTGGGTATTCGTGTACATGTTTGTGAAAAAACAAATGTATAAATTTTAGTAAAATTTTGCATGTTTTCTATTTTGGTAATAATACTTTTAAGTTAGGAAAATATTCTGTACTGAACATATGTGTCTACGAATTTCTTTGGAAAAAGCGGAAAGTAAGTAAATCATTTCGATACTTCACTAGAAATCAAGTGTTATAGTTGAACAAAGATTTAAAAATTAACCAAGAACACAACACCTATATAAATTATTTTGCTAATCGGTTATGAACGTTTAAGTAGGATATCTCCAGAATCTTCAAAATTAGTAATGAAACGTTAAATTTAACCCTTGAGA